GGTCGACAGTACTCACTCCCTGGGCTCCTAAGGCAGATAAGCACTTGGCCGAGACGAACGAATGTGTCGCCCCGGTATCGAATAAAGCGAAGATTGGAGTATGGAACAATGACAACATGCCAGACATGGTATCTGGCTGCTCTGCGGCCTGCTCCTGGTCGAGTGCATAAATATGAACGGGTGCTCCACGCTGCTGCTGCTGTCCTGGCGGCCTCTGGCCCTGCTGTCTAGGTGTTGGCTGTCTCTGAACTGGCCGTCTCTGGCCCTGCTGTGGCTGAGGGCGGTCTGGGCAGTATCTGATCTGGTGTCCTGGGCGGCGGCAATGGTAGCATATGTCCTGCCCGGCAGGACACTCCCCACAGTGCGGACGTCCGCAGGTAGAGCATGCCGGCAGGTCCTGTCGGGCTGGCTGGGTCGCCTGAGCTGGGCCCCTCTGTCTACGATTCCTCTTATCCTTGCGATCCTCCCACTTTCTCTTGTTCGTCTGCTGAGCTAGCTGGGGTGGTGGAATGGCGGCTGGCTGTCTGGCTGGTGGCTGGGCACGGGCGTCTCTCTGAATGCACGCCTCAATCTGCTGAGCACGCTCAACCGTCTCGGCGTAGTCAAGGAAGCCATTGCTGGTGATCAAGAGTCGGATGTTGCTCCTCAAACCATCGAGGAACTGTGTCGCCTTCTTCTCCTCCGTATCAACAAGATGCGAAGCAAAGGCACTCTTACGAGCGAACTCGTGCTCGTACTCGTCCACTAAACGCTCACTCTGCTGGAGAGCGGCAAACTCCCGTGCCATCCTCTGCTTGAAATGGCGAGGATAGAACTTGTCCTCCAATATCGTCTTAAACTGAGCCCATCTCATAGCTTCACGCTCATCCTCAGTGCGTAGACGCCAGTAATCCTCCCACCAGTCTCCGGCGGCTCCCTCTATCTGCAGTTCGGCGCACGCCATCTTGTGTGCCTCAGAAATTCCCATAATATGGAAGATCCTCTCCATCTTCCTGATCCACTCGGCCACGGCTAACGGGCCACGCTCCCCAGTGAAACGGGGCGGGATCATACGTACGGAATCGACTGACCACGACAGTCTGGTCCTGCTCAACCGGTTTCTGGGGATTTATACGCAGCGGCATTCTGAAGATCCAAATATACTTGAATTGATCAGTATAGCCAATTAAGAAATAGCCATACTAGACTTGAAATAATAAAGTAAATAATAAATATCCGAAAACACCTAGCTTGGCTAGAGTTCCGGTATACTTAAACTTTCTATGTTCTGGCTCGTAATGGAGTTCTGACTTAGTCTAGAGTCCTTGGACTTAGTTGTTCTAGAGTTCTTCTGTCTAGAGTTCTGTCTCTAGAGTTATCTGTCTTATAGGAGGATAGTCATCTAGGCCCCGTACTTGAACTGAATTTAGCACTTGGAAATTTAAACTGAGTCAGGTGACTTACCTCGGAGTCGGTGCAGATGAGCGTTGTGTGGTCATGCTTTTCTAAACTTTGAAAGTATACAGAAACGCACTATGCGCTCTGATACCACCTTCTGTCACACCCTGCCTTATTAGCTTTGAAAAATCAGAGTAAAATTTTTGTTTTTATTTTCGAAAAGTTATGCGAGCTTGGTTTTTGAAAATACTGACTCATTGCGGGATGTCACAGATAAAAACTTAACTCAACTTACTCACAGACATAGATAAAACATGCAACCAAGCTATCCGCTACGGATAATGGAATTAAACATGCAATGTCTGAACTGTCTCGCACTGTCTAGTCTGCTAACGGAAGCATCCGAAATACAGAATACATGCATACATAACTGAATCAAATACATGATCATAAACTAGGACATAAAAATGTGCGTAAAATATGCCCAACTCTCATGACCACGCTTCGCCACATCTGTGCTCATCCGGCACGCTCGACTCCGTCTCCTGAAAAACAGAATGGGGGCGTGAGCAAACCACTATGCTCCGCAAAGACCAGTACTGAACAAGACATCATCTATGATAACGTGTCATGAACATAAATATATAAGAGCTGAAACTGTAAACTTTTCTTTTCTTTCTTTTCTGTGGTCAAAAGACCCTCGGCCCTTAGGCCGGCCGCTCGTGTGCACACGCCGATGGGTTATAATGGCCCTCAGGTCTGCCCCCCCCCCGCCGGTCATCAGATGGGATATTTAAGCCCTTAGGTCGGCCCCCACCCGGAACTAACTGTCTCAATACATACCTCTGTCATGGTACAAATATTATCTATGATGTGAAATCCAGTACATGACCCCCACCTGAAAACTTGGAATCTGATGCAAGTGTTGAGACTGGACTAGCGGTCGGAGGCTCGACTCTCCTTAGGCTACATAAATATTTAAGAAAAATAATGCCAAGTATAATGCTCGGAATATTAAATTATATGCTAAAATGCTCGGACTTATTTACGTGATTAAACTGGACTGGACTGGCTCGAAAAAAAAAATACTAAAATTCCGAAAATAGACTCGGACTGGAAGTCACGAATCAAANAAGATCACTTAGGATCCTTTAGTTATTTGGTTTCCTTATTCCTTATGATATCTAGATTGTTTAGGACTTTAATATTTTATTGCTTTAATTAGTGATATAGTTTCCTTAGGACTTTATTTACTTCCAAGCATTAGGAGTTCTTCTTAGACTAGGACTAGACTTAGTTTGGCATCTATAAATATGCCCCATTGTCATTCGAAAATATCATGCAGAAATTAATAAAAAAGTCGAACCTTGTGTTCAAATTTTTGTGTTAGATTTCTTTTGAGATTTAGTGCAAAACCCTTGTTACGAGAAGGGCGTCCCACCGCATTGCTCGAGCAAGACGAGTTTGGCAAGGACATCCGTCCGAGCTGTCTCACCTATCGCGAGAAGATAAGGAGATAACCTCCGAGTCGTCCGCAACCCTCCCCGAAGATCGAGTTCACGCAACATCCGAGGCAAGGTCACGAGTCGGGAACACGCGATCCCTCATCATACTGCTGGCACGCTGTCGCGGGCACTGGTGCTGCGGGTACCTCGCGTATGCTGGCGCGGGCACGGACTGGCTCGGGGCCGGGTACTGCCGCGCTGTGTGCGCGGCCAGTGACCAACGCTGGCCCTTGCCGGACCTCCGGCGACTTTCTCCGGTGACATGCATGACATATGAACTTAGCATGATAAATTAGGCACAAATTTGCTATGAAACACTAGTGGACCCTGGGTCCACGTGCATGCTACTCGATAGGGCATAAATTGCACGTACGAGCACTTAACCTCCGAACCAACATTCTCAACATGCAAACCTACTCATGGCCGAATGTTATACATCACAAATGATGACTATAATGGCTAACACTCAGGTCATATCATGCATGCATTAAACTATGCCTCGGTGGTCCACTCAACATACTTTTCATGAATGATTTGACTAAGTTAATGAACTCATTTCATTCTCAAACTTTAACACCATCAATAACATGATTTTTAAGGGTGATTAAACTAACAATCTTGACTTAGGCATGCATGCAACTCAAATTTCATTTTTAAGGCCATTAACTAATTAAATTCGGAACTAGCCCTTAAACACATGCATGGCTCGGTTTTTCTTCATTAAAAATATTAAAACATCATAAAATAATTTTGGGAAGAAGTTGACTCGGACTAACCTTCACCAAAATGCAAGAAACGAAACCTAGGACTTGAATGGGCTAGGCGCGGCTTAGGGACTTAGGGTGGACTTAGAGTGGAATTTTGCCGAGCTTTATTGACTCAAATGACTTATAAAAATTCAAGGAACACTTGGATAGTGATAAGCCACGAGAGAATATGCTTGGAGATGGTTGGACCTCGCTCTCCTCCTTCCCCAGGCTGTGGCGCACGCGTAGGGGTTGGGAATGGTGTGCTCGACTTTTCTCTCAATTTCTAAGTGATATGCTCGGGCTTCCAATTGTCTAAGAGCTCAAAATGAACTGAGGGAGGGTCCTTAAGTAGTGAAAAGGGCAGAGCTATCAAGGGTGAGTCAAAGAGGACCAAATGAGTAGGAATCTCTCATTTTTCCCATAAGCATGGATATAGTGGCATTGGGACATGATGGTCACGGTCTTAGCACGGTTTTTGTGATGTTTTCAGAGCATCTTGACTGAAGAAACAGGTCTGGTCATGCATGAGGGGACAAGGACTTCCCAAGACATTAAAATAATACCATGTTTATCATGCACCCACATTAAAATAATGCCCACTACTTGGGACTTTCCTTAAACATTTCTTAGGGCAACTTAAACTCAATTAGCTCCTCATTAAGTCCTAATTACACGCAAGTCTTGGGTCATGGAGGATTTGGGCCGGAAATTCCAGAAATGGGCTGAAGAAGATGGGCTGTCGCGTTGCCAGCGCTGGGCCTGGGCGCTTGGCACTGGGCGCGAGCGCAACACTGGGCTTGGGCGCGGGGCTGCGCGTGGGGTTTGATTTGGGCTGAGGATATGGGCTGAAATGAGACTTGGTTGAGTTCCTCAACTCTTAGAAAAATTTAGCAAATGATACTAAGGCTTAGCTAAGGCCTTGAGCTCGATAGATTCGCCCTTGGACGCGAGATGGGCGCGAGTGGCTCGGGTGGGTTAGGGCTCGATTTAAAAATCCAAGACTTGAACTTTGGTATTCCCACACACTTAGAAATTATTCTAAGTATAAAAATACCAAGACTTGGCTATGCTCGGAAAATAACTTGAAAAATAATCGGAACCAAACTAGGGTTCGAAGTTGATAATTTCTTGAATCTAATAGCTATAACTTAACAACCAAAATTAATGGATTAATCTTAACTTAAACTTGAGATAGAATTATTTCAAAGAATAATTTATCATATTTGAGCATTTAGCATAGTAAATATAACTCGGAAAATTTTCTGAAAATTACAGATTTCTTTTATAGTCGAGCAGTGAAACCGCTCTTAATATTATTTCTGATTTGGGGCATTACACAAGTCATAAAATAAAATAAAATAAAATAAAATAAAAAAATCATACATATTTGAAAAAGTAATTGCTCTAAAGATTTTGGTATTTTGTTCCTTTTAATGCTTTATGCTTCACCACACATTCTGGAACATACATGTTACGTAAAAAAATAACAAACAACACATTATTTTTGTAGATAAAGTCATCAATGAATGGTACAGTCCTAGACAATTGTAATGAAGTAGGTGTAGAATTATAAAAAGGCAAATGTGGTGCTTCATAGAAAGAAAGAGAGACATTTGGGTGAGATGAATGTAGTAAAGTGTGGCCATCCAATATTGCTTTAAAGGACTACGTCATGGGCACATCTTTACAAGCAGCAATGCAAAATCACTTGCGCGTCATCTCCTTGACCCTCACAACATTGAATCAAGCCTCAGTTAATTTTAAACGAGGAATGATATTCATTGACTGGAGCTCCTGAACAATGTGTCACCCAAAAACATCGCAATCAATGGTCAAAATTAATGCCTTGCAAACAATCAACACATTTTGATTGAATTCACAAAATAGCTGTATAAATACAAATTCTTCCTCCAATTAATTTATATCAAATGTACTTGTGGAATAAAAATCTAATAGCAATAATATACTGCCAGTATGTGTAATCTACGTAGCATGGATCATTGGATATGGATTTAGGTATAAATACATGGATGGGGCCTTAAAAAAAATGAAAAACAGGACAGAATACAACAATTAATAAATTAAAATGTGTGTGTATGGTGGAAGCTCTGATGAACCCAAAAATATATATTTTACATGTGTATATATAACGTCATAGCACCATAAAAGATGTAAATATTTCATTTTTTTAAAGGCACTATTTGTACAAAACATAAAATATTAATCATCACTCAACATGTTCAAGATAATCACACACATNAATATGACAACCTTTCATTTCAACAGACTTTAAACTAAAACCAGTGATAAAAGGCACAAATTATAAAGGATGAAGAAATTAAGAAGGCTGAAACTGAACCAAGTTAGTCTGAGAAGTAAGCTCACCATTCACCTAGTGGGCAGTCATAATTAGTAAAATAACGCTGCATTTACGATTTAATATAATTGATTAGTTACTTGATTATTATCGCTAATAAATTGCATTTGTTGTATATAAGTACATGTTCTAAAAAAATACTTTTCTCCTTCTGTTTATTCTCTTTCAGACGGAATCTTGCAATTGATAATCCATACATCCGAGCCAAAAATGAATACGAAACCGGGAAAAAAATGAAAACAGAGATAACTTGTTGGAGGTTGGGTCGCTGGAAATGAATCAATGTTTTTTATTTGGACAGGCCCAGCAGGTCGACCCGAATCCGTTCCCGGTCCAGTGGGTCCTTCAGACTGGTTGACTCGCAACCCAGTCAACCCGGTTATTTGTTTTTGCTTAAAATATTATTAATCATGTATATATGTTTAAATTTAAATGGTAAATATTTAAAACGACGAGATGCAATATTATTAACACTTTTGAAGTATAAAATTTTATACTTAAATGGTTGAGTTATTTTTATGTATATTTATAAAATAAAAACGGTATCATTTAAAATTATTTAACAGTAATTACGCAATTGACCAGGTGACTTGGAGTCTAGCCCATAAATAACGGGCCAGGTGTAAAAACAATGGCTGGAATTATAAGGGTTTCTTTTGAATGTGAAGCCCAATCCTCCCGACCTTCTTGCATCTTTAACGATTAACACTTATTTTTATTGATATAGGCTTTTATTAGAGATTTTGGGATTTTCTACCTACAAATAGGCCGAAACCTGGTATTTCTACCCATAGCCACTTCTACCCATAGCCACACAGCGCCATTGCCGCCCATAGTGATGCCGGGCACTATGGCACCACTATTGGAGAGCCGCCATAAGGCAGCCACAAAATAGCTATTTTACGTCACGCCATACCACCATGACCACTATTTGACAACACCGGACATGAAACAAAATAGACAAATTCGGAAAAGATTAAAAATTAGATTGGTAAAATTTGTAACAATTTACATCTTTACTCAGACTCAAAAGAAGGCCCCGATTGAACATGAGTCATAACCGGTTTTAATTGGTTTTGACCGATTGAGTTATTTTATACCAATCAAAATCCAACCCAACCCAACTCTCCTACAGTCCTACTTTTTATCAATATCCTCCTTATATATAATTTCCGAATATGCTGAGCTTAAGTGGCAGGCTCGCATGTTTCGGCATGGCAAAATTTCATGCTTCATTATTTTTAAATTACTTCCAATCCAAAAACAAATAGGTCCAGATTATCAATAGATATATTGATTATTGATTATTTATGGTCATTTTAGATGTATTAATTTTATTTTAATATTATTTCATATTATAAACATTGAATTGTAAATATATTTTTCTTTAAAAGCTAATAACTTTTGTATTTTTTATAAGTTTTACATATATAATATATCAAATTAATCATCTCTTGATGAGCTTCGATTTGACATCTATATTGTATGTAAAAAAAAAAAATATATATTCATTTTAATAATAGTAATAAAATTATCCATTAATATTAACTAGAAAAATAAAATTATTTATCAATTAATTTATAGTTAGATGGTATAAGTTAGAATAATTATTATAATATAACATAGGCAAATTGCAAAAGTAACAAATGTCATACTAAAATATATAATAACATATAATTTTTGTAAAAGTAATTAAATTTTAAAATACTTCTTTCTCACACATTTTAAAATTTAAGAATAATTTTTTAAACAAGCAACCGTGTATGGTATTGTACTAGTAATTAAATAATATCAATCAAACATTCTCATACACCACATCAATTATAATTCACTATTGATTAACTCACATAATTTTAACTACCTATCACTTCTAATAACCTCTCTCCAACCTTTTGCATCACATCAACTTTAATCATTAAATTTTAAATACTATTTAATTACAAACTCAAAATCATCCACTCAATCAACTTTATTCAAAATAACACACTTTAACCAACCAAAACCGGTTAGATTCATATCCAATCACGCTCTAAGTGTGCTTTGGAGCAATATGAGATTGGTGATCTCTTGTGAAGTCCAAAGAAACGTGTTAGTGAGGAAAAAGCAAGTAAATGAGAGATGATCACCTTGGAGAAATGCGTGAGTGCGGGAAAAGCACAATTAAAGGACTTGTGCTTCTTCTTTTTTTCTTGTATACAGTAGGGTGATCACCGTCAAATCTCGAAGGTAAACTGGGTGTTTCTCCGTGTGTGTATATCTTATCTAATATGAAAAACTCATTTGTTTAAAGATGCATTATAGCTAGATTAACAATCTTTTCTGTTTTAACATGCTACGTCGGCACACACAACTTAAATAAGTGAGGATGCAAATAGAGGAATTTGCTTCTTGTCCGACATCAATAAAGAAAAGTTTAGTTGAGGTATATGCAGCTTTTACCTAGATTCCCCACTTTTATTTAACTCTCTTGAAAATTTTTACTTTTTCTTCAGTTAAACCAAATTTGTATACTATATCAGTTACACTCTGGAGGCTTTTTTATTTTAGGTATCCTGGTGAATAGGGTTTCATAAGGAGTGGAGTATTGCTTCTTTAGTACCCAAAATTTGACCTAATTGCAAGATCACTGACCAACCTTTAGGCACTGGCAATCTCGGTACACAAAACTTAGGGTACTAACTATGATAAAATCAGAAGCAAGTGTTAAAACTTTTCCCAAAACTTAGGGTACTGTATCCACAATTTGCTTTTGGTATTAACAATGGAACTTGGGAGTTCCCAACTTTACAAATTGAAAACATAGTTTACCAGGTTTTTATCTAAACAAATGAAACAAGTTTATTGCTTGGCTCTCGAATTTTTTAAGATCAAGGTTGAGCTACAATAATTGGCTATATAAGAATAACAATTGGGCATATAAATTTGAAAGCATCAGGAGAAATGGTCGAAAAGACCAACCAACTAGATTTACCTGGATCAAAAGTTTGCATGCATAGGGTAAATTCATGGTAGACATATTCTCTCCATTCTTGCATGTAGAGCATATTCCAGCCTTCAGCTTAAAGCTGTAATAACCAAGGAGACCACACTTCCGGCACACCTTGAAAAAGAAAACCAGTTACTTAGCAAGTAGGTTAATATGGTTCCTCATTTTTTACGTTATGTTAGCAGGGTTCGAAAAATTGTGTTTTCACAATTTTTCTCACAGCAATTTGCAGATATGAGTTTTGACAATCCTATTTACATGATACTGAAGAACAGATTAGAGTTCAAAGGCCACAATTCCTCTTAAAACAATACCTATCAGGAAATTCTATGATTCTGTGTGACAAAAGAAAAGACGGGATATCCTCCAAACATTTTCAGATTCATTTTAAGCATATAAATATGCAGCTACTCTAAGGAAGATACAACCAATAAACTTCAGCATCTAAACAACTCAAACAAACTTGCTAATTATATCAGAAGTATACAATAGTGATCAGCGAGTAAAAGATACTATTTTGTATGAGGTAATATTGAGGAAAAATAAAAATGTGACATTAACAGGAAGCTTACCTGAACCTCAAATGGGTCACTAGATATCATCAAGCGTTCATATATCAACATACTGGCTCCATATGCAATTAAGCAATCCCGTTCCATTTCCCCCACTCGCAAACCTGTTGAAATTTTTGCACTCAGGCAACAGCATTCCTAAGAAAAAGAAATGAAGTGTACAATTAATATCCAATTCCCAAACCTCCACTTCTACTCCGCCCCTCTGTAGGCTGTCTAGTCATCATAACTCGGGGTCCAGTACCTCGAGCATGAATTTTATCTAACACCTGGGATCCAAACAAAAGTAGAGATTCATAACAGAAGTACAAAGCAAACACTCGGCATAGTCCCATAGAACTGCAATTCTGATGAAAACCACAATAAGCTGAGTATGATAATTATTCCCTGAATGGCAAAGTTGGCAGCAAAGAATAATACCATTATTGAAGTATAGTAAATGTCATATGGCACAATTGATTAACTAAATGGACTGACGCGACATTTTTTGGCCCAAAAGAGGTGACTATAACCTCAAAAGCCCAGAGCATAAGGATTATTCTTATAGTGGCCTAGGGAGCAAGAATCAGGTAGTATATGTTGTACACATAAGGTAAATACGGTAACTTGTACACACATCGCACGTGACGCATTCTCCACACAATCTTTCCCATGCGTACATCTCTCTCTCTCTCTCTCTCTCTCTCTCTCTCTCTCTCTCTCTCTCTCCCTCTCTCGTGATCTCTCTCTCGTGATCTCAACTGTAATAAGCTTTGGCGTGCTAATGTTGGAGACAGTCCCGGCTTTTTGAAGGAGATTGTAATCGCAGGGAGCAGCTCTTGGGACAAACCGGAATGGTTCACACCACTAACAAAATATGTACATGATATGTTGCGATATAAAACTCAACCATCATGCACAACTATTAAGCATGAAAACAATACATCTAGGGTTCATTACTTTCAGGCAAAAAGGAGTTACTATTAGAGGATATGCTCAAGAAGCGAGAAAATATGAAGAACATTCCCTAAGCAAGTACTAAGGCTATGTTTGGTGGACCAATAAGTTAGCTTATAGCTTATTTGGTTAGCTTATAAGCTTCTTGTATTTAAATAACCTTCGACGAGCTTTTTTAAAAAGCTCGAGCTTATCTCATAAGCTTCTTTGGGTAGTTTTTCAAATAAGACAGTTGAAATTTTTTATTTCAGCAATAGGATATAGAGTAAACCAATTATGATTCAATTTGGTGAGTTAAAGTAAGCTAAAGTTAGTTATTATGAATAAAGTACATTTAAAATTAAATAATATTTAAAATGTAATGATTAAGTTAGATCATAATCGGTTTAATCTATATCCAATCGTCTTCGTAGTATCTGCGGACACACTTCCTATTCAAGATTGGTCACGTTTGTAATTGTTCGCTAAAAGAAAACATCTTTAATAGCATGGCCCCTTCACCAATGTGACATATTATCTCTTTTGTCTAATTTTATGAAACACTTTTATCATATAAGCTAGTTTTTCAACTATAAGTTCGAAATTACTGATAAGTTGTAAGCTAGCTTATCAGCTATCAGCTAACTTATTAGCTAGTTTTACCAAACATAAATATAGCCTATACAGATTATTGTACAGTTCTGAAAGTAGGATCAGTCAGGATGTTTCTTTATATATTCACTTCCATTTATAGAGGATTAAAGTCTTAATATTGAGGATAAAAGTAAAAAATTCACAATATTTCAATCTTTGAGTCATTGCCTAGTTTAAGGGAAGGAAACAAAAAGAAAAGAATATCATTTTTTATGGATGGCTTTAAGTCCATTAGAAGTTACTATTCAATGAGCTGCTAATCTGGTCCATAAACTATTTAACCCTATTACAGTTCCAGGAAAATAATAATAACTGCATCCTATCCATATCCCAGCCTTCCATTTCATGAAAAGCATTGTGATTAGCGAAAGTCCCCCACCTATTATCCACAAACATCATTCCTATCAATAAGCCTTCACAATTATTATTCTAATATGACATCATATTTTGTCCTCACTTTTCTGGAATTGGACTGCAGTTTTCCTAAGTTCCCAACTAAATTAGACTATACACACAAATGGTCATCTTTATGTTTTACTTACAAAATGATCATCGGGAGTGAAATATGCAATAACAAAACTCAAAAGTAGGACAGTCAATTAAGAGCCGCAGTGGAATTCATTAGTGAGTAGAAAAATAATAATCAAGGCTTACCATGTGTTTTAACTTCTGGTAATAAATTGGACCCATGAAAATATAAGCTTGCAGTGGCTCACCGGTAATGCCTGGAATGCGTATAAATTACGAATTGAATATAACAAATAAAAATGAATCAAACAAATCAATCAAACACACAATTAAACCTAACCTCACCTTAATTTTAAAGAAAGTATGCTTTTACTAAAACAAGATGCTTACATTTTAACTAACCACTTCATGTGATAATTCAATTTTTGAACCACTCGTACTAAACAACGAACATGCATAACATATAACTTATCCTTCCCACAAGCTCTATATAACTTGCATTGTAAACTTTTTGTCGCTCTTCAGGCACTGAATATTATTCTTACAGAAATCTTTGTATAATGATAAATGGTTCTGGGTGTAGCTCATCCCCGAAAGCAATCAAAGGGATAGGGTTCTCAACCCACGCTTATATAAAATAAGCGCCAAGTACCTGATCGGTGTGGGACAAAACATAATTTTAAACAAATACATTGCATTTTAACTTGAAGGTGATTTCCCGAACCTTGCGCTGAAGCTAGACATGGCTAAGGCGTATGATAGGGTCGAGTGGCGGTTTCTAAGGGAGGTGCTAGTCCGGATAGGCTTCTCGGAGCAGTGGGTCAATTTTATGGAGGCATGTTGGAGTACTGCATGTTTTCAGTTCTGATTAATGGCAGCCCCATTGACTTCTTCTCTTCATCTCGGCGCCTCCGGCAAGGGGACCCCTCGCTTTTTGTTCTGGCGGCAGAACCCTTTCATCCGCGATACACCGAGGATGACCTACAACACTTATGGCTATGGTCCTCCCATCTCTCACCTCTTATGCGTGATGATGGACTGGTCGAACTTATGCACCTTCTGGAGCACTATGGCTCGGTCACCGGTCAGCTCGTCAATATGCAAAAGAGCACCTTCATCCTCTCCCCTCCCATTGTGGGCGCAGAGGGTCCACGAGCGTACTGGTTTCGCGCATAGCAACCTCCCCATCACCTAGCTCGGTGTCCCTCTGGCCATCTCACGATAGCACTCTTTGCAAACGTGAGGCAGAGGTCGATCACCGAATTCCAGCTGGTCGCATAAACATCTTACTTTGGAAGTCGGCTCGCGCTAATCAGAAGAACCCTCAGCGCCCTTCCGCTTCATCTCTTTATGGTCCTCGATCCCCTTAGATCCATTCTCCATGAGCTAGATCAGATCATGGCTCGTTATTTTTGGGAACACGGGGAAGGCTTTCAGAGGGGGAGGCAGTTCCAAGGCCGTCCTATCTTCAAGGGTGACCTTGGGATCCGTCGTTTATCGAACGTTGTCACCGTCTTCTCATATAAGATGTGGTGGCGCTTCAGGGACTGAAAGTCTCTTTGGGCTCAGTACCTTCGCGGCAAGTACTGCCTCAGAGGCGTCTGTCACCCTTGTAGGATGACGGTCACCGCTCGGGATAATAGATAGTGGAGGCGGCACACCAGGGTAGGTAGGCGTACCTAGGAGCACATCTTCAAACATTCTCGTTTTCTTGTCATCTAATCATGAGGACTTTGGGAGAGGGTGAGGTCAATTTTTGGGACGAGTGGTGGTTTGGTGAGGGTTTCGAGCACTAGGCGGGTCACTCACTCCTCTTCTATGCGGGTGAAGGACCTGTGGATCGATGGGACGTGTGGACCGATGGGACGTGGGATTAGGATAGGTTAGAGAGTGAGTTAGGTATTGGAGCCGGTTTAAGTGACTAGTTATTAGAGCAGATCCAGCAGATTCCCATCTCGGAGGATGGTTCAGACGATATGAAGTGGAGACTTACATCTTCGGGAAAGTGACCGGCCTAACCTTTTCTTAGGGGACATTTGGACCGACCAGCTTACCCCGACCATCTCTGTCTTCCTTTGGCGTCTTCTTCTGCACCATATTCAAATCGACTCTGTACTGCAGGCGATGGGGGTTACAGTTGTGTTGAGACTGGTGAATTCCAAATTGAGACTTTTTCCCACTTATTTTTAGAGAGCGAGGTTGCGAGGAGAGGGTGAGAGCATTTTGCCACATATACTCATATACGCCTACCTTACTACAGACAGTTTCTTTGTACTCCTTAATTTTTTCTCACAGTGCACACACTTTAGACACGTGGACTTTCTCATTCCTTGTCGAATCATGTGGTTCATCTGGACAAAGAGGAATAGTGCGAAGCATAGGAATATTACTTTTATGTGTTCTCTCACTCCTCACAATTCTGGGCAGACTCACGCCTAGAGACAAGACAGGCTGCACGCCGCCCCATCGCTTCGTTCCATCTCATTGTCGCTTGTCTAACACTCACGCCCCAGAGTCGTTTATCTAAGACCTGACTCCTCCTCCTCTTGTGTTAAGCTGACGCCAACGGATCCTTCAACCGACTCACCGGAGTCGTCGGAGGCGGAGCCATGGTTAGGGATTCTCATTGTCGCCTTCCACGCCCTTCCACGCCCCTCTCTTCAGGCCTTCTCAAGCTACGACGGTTCAGGCGCTCCAGATCAAATTGCAGCCTCTATCTCTACTCACATTTGGGATTAAATTATATTGCCACTGTCGTCACCCTCTTGACCTCGTGGCACTAGGGCTTGTGGCAGATTCACCACCTCCTCATGTGCATCATATCTACTTTAGTTGGTTCGCTTCCGGATCTCGCATATCTTCTGCGAGGAGAACCGACCCGCTGACTTCCTGGCCGGCCTTGGAGCCACCATTCCTCAGAGGCGTACTCTTTACCCTAACGATGCCCCTCTCTCTGCCTACGTAATTTAATTTAGTGCAGATGGACAAGATTGGCTACCCCTCGTTTAGATTTTTATGGTTGTTTTGTGTTTGTTGTGCTTTGGCACACTTGGTAGTGCAGACTACTCGTCTGGACACCTATTAGCCCGGGTTCAGACTTTTTAGTTTAATTGTTTTTCTTTTCCTTTTTTGGTTTTTGTTTGGACCAGTGTAAACCAGTGATTTTTTCGGTCCAGTTAGGGCCTTAACTATACAAGCCAAATCTCTCACCTTTCTTGGTTGTTTCTTCGTTAAAAATAAAATAAGATAAAATAAAGGTGATTTTTGGTAACATGAGTTGATATTCTGAAAAAAGTCTTGAAGAATAATAATTCATGAAAAGCCTATAGAAACAAAATATCAACAACAACAACAACAACATAGCCTTTAGTCCCAAGCAAATCGGGGTAGGCTAGAGATGAAACCCAAGAGAAAAGACTCGAACCAAAAGGAAGAGATCGAAAAAAAAAAAAAAAAAAAAAAAAAAAAAAAAAAAAAACTAGAGAGAGAGAGAGAGAAAGGAGCAAAAGTCACGGTTCTGGCACGTTGATAGCGAGCCTCCAAGCGCTCCTATCCACCGCTAAATCCTATGAGATATTCCAATCTTTAAGGTCTCTCTTAACCGACTCTTCCCAAGTGAGTTTAGGCCGACCTCTACCTCTCTTAACATCTTCGACCCGCTGTAGAACTCCCCTACGCACCGGTGCATCAGGAGACCTCCGTTGGACATGTCCGAACCACCTCAGCCGATGTTGAACCAATTTCTCCTCAATTGGGGCCACCCCGACCCTATCTCGAATATCCTCATTCCGGATTATATCCCTTCTTGTGTGCCCACAGAACCAACGCAACATACGCATCTCTGCTACACTTAGTTGTTGGACATGTTGCCTTTTTGTAGGCCAACATTCAGCACCGTATAGCATCGCCGGGCGAATCGCCGTCCTATAGAACTTACCTTTTAGCCTTTGTGGCACCCTCTTATCACAGAGAACGCCCGACGCCTGACGCCATTTCAACCAACCGGCTGCAATTCTATGCCTAACATCAGCATCAATGCCGCCATCCTTTTGTAGCATCGATCCCAAATACCGGAAAGTCTCCTTCTTGGCCACCACTTGCCCGTCAAGGGTAACGTCACCATCATCATGTGAAGCCATGCCGAAAGCGCACGTCATGTACTCGGTCTTCGTCCTACTAAGTCTGAAGCCTTTCGACTCTAATGCGTCCTTCCACAGCTCCAACTTCCTATTTACCCCTGCTCTACTCTCGTCAACTAGCACCACATCATCAGCAAAGAGCATACACTAAGGGATATGACCTTGTATGTCCCTTGTGACCTCATCCATCACCAAGGCAAATAGATAAGGGCTCAATGCTGACCCCTGGTGTAGTCCTATTTTAATTGAGAAGTCGCTGGTGTCACCCCCATATGTTCAGACACACGTCATCGCATCCTTGTACATATCCTTGATGAGGGTAATGTACTTAGATGGGACTTTGTGCTTTTCTAAGGCCCACCACATGACATTTCTCGGTACTCTGTCATAAGCCTTCTCTAGGTCGATAAAGACCATGTGCAAGTCCTTCTTTTGGTCCCTATATCTCTCCGTCAACTGACGTATTAGGAAAATCGCCATGGTCGACCTTCCAGGCATGAACCCAAATTGATTTTGGGTCACACTCGTCACTCGTCGTAGGCGATGCTCGATAACCCTCTCCCAGAGCTTCATCGTATGGCTCATCAACTTAATCCCGTGGTAGTTACCACAGCTTTGAACATCTACCTTGTTCTTGAAGATCGGTACTAAAATACTTCTCCTCCATTCATCAAGCATCTTGTTTGACCGGAAAATGAGGTTAAAAAGTTTAGTTAGCCATGCTAACGCTCTGGAGCCCAAGCATCTCCACACCTCAATGGGGATACCATCAGGGCCCATTGCTTTACCTCCCTTCATCCTCTTCATAGCCTCTCCGATTTCTGCCTCCCGAATTCTTCTCACCACGCATCTATTGGTATCCTCAAATGAGTCATACAACTCCAGTGTAGGACTCTCACTCTCTCCATTAAACAATTTGTCGAATATCATAATCAAGTGACCACATAAAATCAATGTTTCCAACTACGCGAGCAACAAAATTTTATAGTTAATACCTTCTACGAGCACCCAATTCTGAAATGCTAAAAACATGTTGAAAACTAGACCTTCCACTGTAGGAATGTTTAAATGGCTGCATCTGTGCATTTGGTGAATATCCTATGTCATCTGAGGTACAAAGTTAGATATCAAAATCCTTAAAGGAACTTGGCACTATTGCACCATCACACAAAGAATTTCCATATCTCTTTCATATTTCAGTATCTTACAACTAGTACTGCATAAAATTCTCATTGTGACACTAACTTATGAAGTATTTAAACTTCATTGACCAAAATGCGCTCTAATTATCATAAAAACAGTGAGGAAATGTGTTATTGGCTCTAGACCATCGTAATTTTATCTGGTGAACTAAGATGCTGCAACTGATTCTCAATTTCACTATACTAAAAGTCAGCCTAGGCGCTGCTAAACCGCCTACGATTTGGGGTAGTTGAAGAAAAAAATTGCCCAGTCGCTTCCTCGGTCCCCTCAGCGGTTAGAGAGATGGGCAGCTCTCCGCAATGCTGTTGGGGGTTTTGGCACTGCAACACGCCAGCCTTTTGTTGAATGTTTATTTATTTTTCTATTAAAGCAAAACGACGTCGTTTTTTAATCAAAGCAAAACAACGTCGTGTGGAATCCCACTTAAACTAAAAACGTGTCTCATCAATCCAGAGTCAAGAGAAGCAGAGCAGAGTTTAACTTCAGAGGCTACCTTCATTTTTCAGTCTGCAGAAAAAAAAATGAAGTTTATTCTCACAGTTGCTAAACACTTGGCAGAGCTTCATTCTCGCTGCTGGACCACCGTTCCTATCAGCCTTTATCAACCTTTAGGTCCTCTACTCAAGTATTTCATAGGTCTCCTTTACAAATGGTTGTACATTATGCAATGTTTATGCAATTTGGTTTTAGTAATTTGAAATTTAATGAAATTTATTGGCATTTTGGTACAAGTAATCAAGTAAAAATTGCAGAAATATGGTGTTGGTTGCTATAAAGCTATTATGGTGTGTGATGGTTATAACATAAGCATGTACACAATGTGTTCGATGAAATTCCAAAAAAAAAAAAAAAAAAAAATAAGATATTTATTCTTGGCCCCGCCTAGGCACTCTAGGTGCTACACGCTAGCGTGACGCCTAGCGATTTCTAGAACACTGTACAACTTTATCACTCTAATAAGAAATGAAAAATTTAGAGAAATGGATACGAGGCTCATTATTTACAATGAGCTGAGTATTAAGGTGGTATAAAGGCTGTACATTGTCTGTCAAGTCTTAGAGATCAGAGTCTTGATGAGATATTCATGTTAATGGACGATGATACCAAGATCAATTCAAGGTACATAGTAAATTAATGTGTTCCAGTATTTCTAAATAAGTTAAAAGGAAAAACGAAATTCAAAATGTAATGCACTTGTGTGACAACTTAAAATTTTGATCGAAGATAAATATGAAAGTCTGAGAGAAAGACCTGAGTAGATGAAATCTTTGCCATTGTAGCTAAAACCATGCTTCACAAGAGTTTCACTGGCAAATTAAGAAGGATGATGAAAACTTGAACATATATGAAAATGAATAGTCTGGCAAAATTATCCAGAAACCAAAATAAGGAGGATAAGTAGTAAAAGGCAGGTTGCACCTTATCGTCTCAACTTTGTCTGCATGACCGTTGGGCTCCCCGAATGCACTGCCATAATGAAACCTACCACATGAAACTCCAGCTTTGCCACCAAGAAGTTCTATCATCTTCCCAACAGTCATACGGCTGAGATTCATGAAATAAAAATGTGAACTATATGGACTAAGGAGACTTGTTTCTAATGTGAATTATATGGACTAAAGAGAATGGTTCTATTATAATTATAGCAGTGTACAACAATTTTCACAGTGAAACCAATAGAATCTACTATCAAGTTAGTTGAGAATTCCGTAGTCCATGAGAACCCAAACATCGTTCAAAATCAATGGCAGACAACCCCAAAGATAAAAACTAACCAACTCAATTTAAAGCAGGAATTAATTGAAACCAAAGTAATTTCGATTCCTCCAGCATACTCAACATCCAGAACAAACGCAGAATCATCAGTATCCAAAATACAAGATCAGATCAACTTCTACATGGATTAAATAAGTATGGCACCAGTTCGTAGCTTATCAACAAGAATTAATAAAGTTCTTTTTTTTATTTAATCCCAAGGCAAGAACTGGGTGAAAAGTATGAGCTGCAGCAATGCATGACAGCTTAACTGAGATACCAAAAGCGCAATGAACCAGGATAATCACATAACTACTTGGATGAGCCTACATATTTCTAAAATAATTTAAAATTTAGATGAGAACAAAACAAACAAAGACCATCGTAAGTTTTATCGAAAACATATGCTCCGTTGTAGTTCTATATAACTTTTATCATTGTAACACTAGCATCTTTGTGAATGATAAATGTATAATGGTTGCCTGAACTCAGAAGCAGAAGTTGGTATATTTTTCCCTTTATCCTCCTTTGAAAAGAATGGGAAAATGCAGAATAAAGAAAACTGTAATTAGTACAACAGGTTTTATCTAAGCCCAGACACAATAAAAAATCTTATGAGGAACTCAAGCACAAGAACGGCTTATTATTCAGGTCCTAAATGCAATAGTCTCTGCCCACCTTTCACGAGCAGCCAAAAATCCTTAATAAGTTTCTTGATCGCAATGGTGACCGTCAATAACAGAAAACGTCTACCTAGTTAGTTTGAGTTTTCTACCGAGTAACAAGAACTGTTTAGAGAATCCCCAGCCATACACACCCATCTTCTCTGCTGGATTCCCTCCAAATAAAAACAAGGGGCAAGAGCAGATCATAAATCAATACTTAAATAACAAGTGACTTTTGTGGTGCACCAAGGTAAGTGTACAAGAAATAAGTCGAAGTCAATATTCAAGATCTAATTGAGCACAAATTTTGAAATGCCATGCAGAAAAAAAGAAAAAAGAAAATATTTACCTAGGAAATCCATGGGGATTCATGATTAAATCAGGACATATTCCACGTTCTGAAAAGGGAAAATCCTCCTGTTGAACAATAGTACCACACACTCCTTTTTGCCCATGACGACTACTAAATTTGTCACCAACCTAGGTGGAAAAGGATATTCATATAAACAGAAGCTTTCAATGGATTTAAATTTAAATTTGGAAGTCAGTTAACTACCTCTGGCCTCCGAGTATGTCGAATAATGAACTTGATGCATAGGTTGTTATTCCTGTCAGAGCAAAGTGCTACCTTATCCACAACAGGAGTCTCCCCCTTAGGACCTTTGTATGTCTGGGGAGATCGATTGTATGCACTGAATTTACAAACATGCAAGTGAGCTGATAAATAGGTACTGAAAAGAAATAAATATGTTGTGAGAAAGCAACATGGAAAACCTATCAGCCAGTGCCACATGGGAGTTGGGCTGCCCTCTAGTGACTTTGGGGGTCTGCTTGTTAATATAGATGTCATCGGGTCGAATAATTTGCCCAGGAGCTGCTATTCCATCATCATCCAAAACCTGCCCATAGCAGAAGAGTCACATTTGAATTTCAACATTCATTTTACTGGAAAGAAACTAAGCACAGATGGAATGTTCTTTCTTTCCTTTTATCATTTGGCTAATGTCAGGATTACCTACACACTTCTTACAGAATTCTTTATAAGTATTCGTGTGAGTTGTCCCCCGAAATAATGCCAATATAAGCAGATAGTAAACCTTTCTCAACAATCTTTCTATTCCATGATTAAGCTCCCAAGTACACAATCATATTCTAATGCAGAATAAAAAAATCATTGACATATTACCTGCATCCCATAAGCTCCTCTTTGTGGCCTAACAATGCGATCGGATGCATTATTTTCATACGTTTGGACAACTGCTGTCATTCTGTTCATAGGTATTTGTATTTAATGCAGTCGCCAGAAAGTGTTTACCAAAAAACGCTTGAGCAAATTAAGCAAATAGTCTTCATAACTAATCAAGAAAATAGGGCAGTACCTTTTCATGACAATGCAACGTCCAAAACCACGATCCAAGGACGATTTATTCATCACTATAGCATCCTCTATGTCATAGCCACTATAACTCATAACTGCAACAGTTGCATTCTGTCCAGCTCCCAGCTTATCATAGCTGACCTGGAAAAAGTCAAAAGTAAATAAAAATAAATATCAACAAGTTACATGCTTGTTCAATAAAAAATGCTTAGGATTCACTAACCAGCTCAATTGTTCGTGTTGTTAGTAGTGGTCGTTGCGGATAAACTAGAAGATACATTAAAGTATCCATCCTACGTAACTGCAAATAAAAACTACGATAATAAGAAGATCGAGAGAAAGAAAATATCTCTGCAACCATAAGGTACAGCGGAGATTAAACAGAAAAAGATGTGCATTGTAGACAACTTTCAAGCTTCCAGAATAAAGATGTGGAATAAAACCTAACGATCCTGAAATGTAAAAGGGATGCAGATTATTTGCCTGGTTAAGTTTGAACATAACTCGTCAACCAACAGATTAACTAATGAAGTTTCACATTCCTAAATTCAAACCCTACACGAGGAGACTAAATAACAAATTAGACGACAAGAGTCCTAAAGAACAATGAGGCTTTCAAGCTGACTCATTTATCTATCATATTGATTGTCAAGCAACCTCACCCTAATTAAACATATGATACTCCAAATGTCATGGCAAACTTAAAAGGTTTGACCAACAAAAACTACTCATAATTTGCCAAAATAGTCACATCGCATTTGCATCAAAGAAAGTCTTCAATTCAATTGACATAAACTCCTTCAAACAACAGGTCTGGAAAGTACGAGACAAATAGTGGAGCTGCATGTAATATCACAAGCACGTGTTAAACCATATCCTTTTTTTTTTATCAGTAAAAGGTGTTAAACCATATTTATGACCAATATTTATGTGTCCAATATCTGGGAGCTCGATTCCATAAGAACCATGGAAAAGGCAATGTGTAAATATACTATCATTTGTTTTTATCTCTGCTCAGTAGTTCCGTAGCAGTTTTTTTCGGACGTTTTCTAGGCTCAGAATGAACTGCTAGATCTAGTACATCTGCATCTTTTTCTTTTGTTTATCATATATATACATATATAATATCAACTTCAGGTAGACAAAATAACTTGCCTGATTGTAAGCGATATTGCCCATAGCTTGCTTTCCCATAGCACACTTCAAATGGAATCAATAAGATGAATAGTAAGACTCGTCTAATTTAAGGTCATCCAAATCCATCTACCCAAAAAAAAGCAATTAAGGTATACCTGATATGTATTTCTTGGCGACTGGTTATGATGAGGATATGGGATCAATCCAGCAACCACACCCAGTAAGGTAAAAGGCTCTATTTCAATATGCGTTGTAACCTCCTTAGCATTCTCTTCATGTAAAGCAATCTAACATGATATTTACCGTGAGACAGTACAACTGACCACAAAGAGAAAAAAGAACCATAAATTCAAGAAAGAGATGCAAACCAAAGCGTTGTTCTCCTCGTTGACATCAAGATATTCTATCAAGCCTTCCTTCAGAAAACTGTCAAATGTCCGCACTCCATCCTTCAGCAATCAGCATCACAAATGTAATCAGTATGACTTGAATAAAGGATATATTGAGCATCACTGATGCCAGTTTACCTTTAACTCCTTCATATGGTGCTCCTTAATCCTTGACACGCCTTTGTCTGCAATGACAAGTGGACGACAAACACGTCCACCATCTGAAGCAATGTAAACACAACGCTGCAAGAGGATTTAGGATCTCAGATATAATGGTTCTTTTTCCATACATCTAGAGGAGATTAACACATAAAACAAGATATGAAGGTTAGGAGGGATAACTGGCTAGAGATATGTTGCAAAAACTAAGTCGGAAGAGAATGGTGAAAGTAACAAAATCACAAATTGAGTTGGGTATATATGCTTCTGTAGCTCTGCAATATCACCAGAAGATTATTATGTAATTGAATTTCCAACATAGGAAGCACCACAGTATCCATTTAACATCCATTTTACATGGTCGATAACAATGGGCATTTCAAGTTATTCCCACTAATATAATACAAATGTCATGGATCAACAACAGACTAGATGACAGCTTTACGTCTGCCATACAAAGGTGAAATTCATATAAAATGATACAGAAACACAAGGTACAATAGGTCACCTGCTTTTCATTCACGAAAATGCTCACAAACTCGCCAATTTTACCAGCCCTGCGCAGTTTTCTCATTGCATTGGCAAATCTCTAAAATAAACAATATATACATATATATTAGCCAG